CTTCTCCAGGGGTAATCATAAGCAATTAGTTGTAAAAATATATCTCACCCGATAGTAACACTGATGCCAGATAGCTGATTCTTGCTTCTCTTGCAAGCGACTTGCAAGCGAGCCCAAGCTGCTTGTTTCTGCCCGTTGGCTGATTAGGGAGTTTCCTGGATCAAACAGGGATGACTGCCGCCGCCCCCCCATGATCAACAGGCTTCCCCCCCAGTTCACCACCACCCAAACAGGTCAGAATTCAGCCCAGGGGACACAGCTCTGTCCTTCTGCTGCTATCTCGTCGCGGCGTCAAGCCGGAAGTCCACCAGTCAAGGTATTTCAGCATCTGAGACAGAAAACTTATAAGTAGCCATCCCCTTTACTGGTGCTAAAAATACAATCATAATAAATTTAATAACAAACAATTTACTGTACTTTCATGATATTCAAATGCTGCTACTTGGAGCATCTACCTCTCAGTGCCTAATGACAGGCTGGTCCTGTCAATTTTGATTTTATTTTTTAAAACTTTTAATCTTTATTGCATTTTAAAAAGAAATTATAAAAATAAGTAAATAATTATCACAATATTAGCACAGTTTTTTATTTTGTTATGTTGTGGAAAAAATTAATGAGCTCCCATTTTCTTTCTTCACTACATCATTGGTGTATTCATTAGTTAATAGTTAATATTAGCTGTGGGTCCGATGGCAATTTTTATATATATTTTAATTGTATTTTAATTGTTCTAAATTTTATTGTATTTTAAATGTTGTAAGCCGCCCAGAGATCTGTGGGTAGTGTGGGCGGCATATAAATTAAATAAATAAATAATAATAATAATTTGCTATCTGTACAGGTGTTTTCATTTGCTATATGCACAGAGCCAACTCTCATTCCTTTTTGTTGGTTTCCACATGTGGAAAGTAGTATGTCTTCCATATATGTTCCTGCTTGCATCTACGCTCTGGGTTCTTTTCATGCTATCTGTACAGGTGTTTTCATTTGCTATATGCACAGAGCCAACTCTCATTCCTTTTTGTTGGTTTCCACATGTGGAAAGTAGTATGTCTTCCATATATGTTCCTGCTTGCATCTACGCTCTGGGTTCTTTTCACATGTAGAGCTTACATACAAATAGGAACATTTCCAGAGCAAACACATCGATTTGGGGCTGGGGCTGGATACTCTTCTCTATGCATGGTGAATATATCCATGCAGATAAGGACAGAATATTCCTTATATTAATGTTCCATATAACATGCTTTCCCAACAATGTTCTTTGAAATCCCTCGGTTTCCCCAACATAATTCTTCTAAAACTGCTCTGTGACATCCCCTTAAGTCTCTATACCCAATATATTTCTTTACATTGGTGCCTAACCACTTAGGATTCCTAGTCTTCCCCTTCCACTTCACCTTGTGAAATGATTTTATTTCAGCCTTCTGTTATGACTCTCAACTCTTCACTAATGCTGCCACCATGAATTAACTGAACCAGAAGCCTTTCAATGATTAAACTTTTATTTACACTCCTCCTTTAGTTGTGCTATGGCAAAGCAGGCAGTGTGTGTGTTTGTTACTTGGTAATCACTACTGGGAAATGATGAAGAGAGGTTTGTTATATCAAAATAAAGAATGCCACAGATTTAAATAATAATACAATTAGTCACAAGTATATCAAACAATCTTGCTACATATCTAGGTTAATTCTTATCTTTGTACAGTTTATATCTTCTTTATCGCATGTTCCTGCTTAACATAAGCATCTACCTACACTTTGCAAACCCAATCAACTACATTCCTGAAGTCCTAATCTGAGATTTTCTCTGTTAAATTTAAGACCTGTCTTTCACTCAGACATTCATTTATAATCTCCCACCCCTCCCCACACCCACTAGAGACAATTGCCAATCATAACTAAGTTCCATTAAGGCAGAATCTCACCCCCTTTCACAACAGATATAATGGTTTTGACACTCACCCAACACTCATCTGTCAATCAACCCATTCATACTACCATGCAACCAACTAACTTATTTATACACATAAAATAACCATAAACACAAACAGAGGGGACTCAAAGAAACACACATCTCTGGGGGTGGGGGAAAACATACAAAGAGGGGAGGCAAAGTTTACTAAAATAGAAATATCTACTTAATTCAAAAATAGCAATCCCCTTCTATCTTCATCAAACCTGCTGGAACTCCTTAAGAATCTCCTCTGCCTTTTTTCCATGGTGTTATTCTAGCCACTACTAGATAAAAAAATCAGTGACAAAATGTTCAACCAACGGTTCTCCAGTTCTGTTATTCAGAATGTTGTTTAAGGCCAGGTCTGTTTGCATGGATGCCTTGCTGAATTTTTTTTCCCTGGGCTTTCTTTTTGTCTCCTGAGCACATGGCCTGGGGGTGGGGCCTGGGGGTGGGACTTCCTGATTTAAAAGAGTGTGTCCCAGGACCCTGGACCCTTTCACCTAGGAAGCTGGGCTGAGGGCAAAGGCCAGGTCTGTTTGCATGGATGCCTTGCTGAGTTTTTTTTTGACTTCTCGAGTATAACTTATGAGAAAATTTCTTAAGATTCATAACGCCATATTATAATATTCTTGAAGTATATTTTAAATGTATTTGAATGAGTAGTTTAATGGGACATTAAACTACTATCCCTCTCTCCAGATTTTCTGCCGCTTTATGATTGCTGAGATTGATAGCAGGTTCTTTTTTCTGTATATAGGAATTGTCTTCTCCAGGGGTAATCATAAGCAATTAGTTGTAAAAATATATCTCACCCGATAGTAACACTCATGCCAGAAAGCTGATTCTTGCTTCTCTTAGCCGGCTGCCAACGACTTGCAAGCGAGCTTCCAAGTTGCTTGTTTCTGCCCATTGGCTGATTAGGGAGTTTCCTGGATCAAATGGGAATGACCGCCGTCCCCCGTCCCCCGTGATCAACAGGCTTCCCCCACAGTTCACCACCTCTTTGGGGTGGTTTAGACACCCTGGGGTGTCCCAAACAGGTCATAATTCAGCCCAGGTGACAGAGCTCTGTCCTCCTCCTGCTGTCTCGTCGCGGCATCAAGCCGGAAATCTGCCAGTCAAGGTATTTCAGCATCTGAGACAGAAAACTTATAAGTAGCCATCCCCCTTACTGGTGCTAAAATACAATCATAATGAATTTAATAACAAACAATTTACTGTACTTTCATGATATTCAAATGCTGCTACTTGGAGCAGCTACCTCTCAGTGCCTAATGACAGGCTGGCCCTGGTTTTCCAAGTGTTGGCTTAGAATACTGTATACACAACCCCACATGGAAAAAGTCTTTGCAGATTTGGCCTTGAGGTATTAGGGAACACTGACATTCACTGGATGAGATACCATCTTCTACTGAAAACCACAATAATAATTATTTCTAAAAAGACTAAGAACATCATGAATCACAGTAACATCCATTAAAAACCGCAATTACCAATGTTGCCAGGAATTGCTCTTCGAAAGAGATGTCTTCTAAGGAAAAAGTGTATTATATTCAAGATGTGTTACATGTGATAATGATTTCAAATATTTATGAAAACAAAACATTTTCCTAATTTTTAATCGGTTCTAGGGCTGGCCCCACTAGTAAACAAAGTGAGGCAGGCATCTCAGACAGCAATTGTTTGGAGATAGCAAGTTATGCTGTATCATTAAGTGTGGTGGAAGATGCTTCCATATTGCTATTTTATGAAGAAAGAATTAAGTACCAGTCAAGTCATAATTTGCACATGAAATGGAAGGGTGTATCTCCTTGTTCTTTGCCTCAGACAGCAAAATATCTTGGGCTCTGAATGATTCTCACATTAACAAATAAGAACCAGAGTCCTTGACTGTCTGTGTAAATAATGCACAGCAGAGGGGAGTATTGGAGTGGGTTAGTACTCTTACCCTCTTGCTATCCTTAAATAACAGATTGTTACTCTTGTGGACATTTGGGACTTGTGTATATAGCTCCAGCTTTCAGATTTTCAGCCATAGGAAACAGACACCAGCATCTGAGCACACAGTTCCTCAGGTGACTAAAGTTGAGGGGGCAGGAGACAATAGCTCAAATCTGTTTCTTTACTATGCATGCAGAAGGCAAAAAGCACAACATTTAGTTGCTGCTAACTAGCATTTAAGGAGTTGTCATTGAATTTATGGGGGGGGCACTTGCTGGCTTGACATGCACTTAAGAGACCCAGCAGAAACAGTTAGAAGACACTGGAAGTTACACCATTATAACCTCTGTATGCATAACAAAGCAACAAGATTTAAGCCAATATCTTTACATATATAGCTTTGGCTATATTTGCACCATATTTACACATGAGAAAATACCCACAATTACTTGGAAAACATATCAAACCAATCTATTGCAGATAGAGACTCTCATCCTCACCTGCATCAGTTCCATCGGATTGAGTAAAATGGTCCAGCATGAAAGTGAAGAAGTTGGATAACTGGGTAAGGAAACACATCTGTTAGTTTAGCCTGACATCCATTTCAAAGGCACCTGTAATGATGCTGGCCAAAATTCCAAGCTCCATGATTATTGAGAGTGCTTATTTATGGGAGGAGGAGGGGGTTTTCAACATAGATCAAGGCTACCCATTGTAAGCATGAAGAACTTCCTTCTATGTCTGAAATAGCTTTTCACTGTTTTGTTTTATAAGCAAGGAAATTAGTTAACTAACGAACTTCCTTGCTCATAAAACAAAACGGTGAAAAGCTGTTTCAGACATAGATACCTACACTATATCTCACTGGTTCTTAACCTTTGTTACTCAGATGTTTTTGGACTGCAACTCTCAGAAGCCTTCACCATCAGCTCTGCTGGCTGGGGTTTCTGGGAGTTGCAGTTCAAAAACACCTGAGTAACAAAGGTTAAGAACCACTGCTATATCTGACTCCCACCTTCCTCTGCCTTCACATGCAGAGCAAAGCTGTTAATTTAAGACATTTTTTAAAATCTATCCTTCAGCAAGCATAGCAACCAATATGTTTAGTGTTTAGTCTAATAAAACATTTTCAGTGCATTAAGACTACTTAAGCTGCATCCCGTTATCTTTTCTACAATGATTGCATCTTATACAGTTTCCAGAGAAACTCAGAGAACTAATTTGATCCTAGAGAATACATCAAATTTATTATGTAAAAGGTGTCCAAGTACAGAACAGTATGGGTAGAAGAGCACTCCTAAAGTTTAATATAGGACTTTTCTAGAAAACACAGTTGCCCTCCTCATTCCCTTTTGCCAAGCGGTACTGGACAAGTACCAAGGGTTGTGGTGGCTCTGCAGGTTAAACCGCAGAAGCATTTCTGCTGCAAGGTCGGAAGATCAGCAGGCGTAAGATCGAATCCACGTGACGCCTCCTCATTCCCTTTTGCCAAGCGGTACTGGCAAGGGATGTGGTGGCTCTGCAGGTTAAACCACAGAAGCATTTGTGCTGCAAGGTTGGAAGACCAGCAGGCGTAAGATCGAATCCACGTGACGGAGTGAGCTCCCATCGCTTGTCCCATCTCCTGCCAACCTAGCAGTTCAAAAGCATGTACAAATGCAAGTAGATAAATAGGTACCACCACATTGGGAAGGTAACAGCATTCCGTGTCTAGTTGCGCTGGCCAAGTGACCACAGAAAAACTGTCTAGGGACAAACGCTGGCTCTATGGCTTGGAAATGGGGACGAGCACCACCCCCTAGAGTCAGACACGACTGACTAAATGTCAAGGGGAACCTTTACCTTTACCTTACTGGACAAGTATGAAATTTACTGAGATCTACACATACACTCACCCCCTTTCTCTTCTTTTTCAGAAAGATGCTTCTTTTTAAGATATCTCATTATCTGGATCCTATAGTAAAACTATTTTTCACTCTTAATCAGTTTCAGAAAATGAATGGCTTGGTAGTCAGTAAATGGCAAGGTCCGGTCTTACCATTAGATAGAGTAAACCAGCTGCTTCAGGCAGCAGATTTGAAATATTATGAAAAGACTATCTTTTATTTTATTACAGTGTCTCTTCTGTCAGGAGGGAGGGAAAGGGGCTGGTGGGATTTTCCCTTTCAGGTCCCAGAATTAATTGAGAGGCACTGGACACTATGCGTATACATCTTCACTCAAGTAGCAATGGGTCATCTGCTGCTTCACTTCAGTTAGCAATATATCCACCTCAGGTGGCAAAACTTAAAATATCGTCCATGAAAATGAATGAGTACACACTAGAAGTGTATTTCCTGTGAATAATCTGAAAACTCAGCCTGTTCTATGTGAATAGCTGTTTATTGTCAAAGAAATTCAACAGAGTGCAAACCTGAAGCTGTGACTGTTCCTCTGCATATTCAATTGACTGAAATATACTTAGAGCATATCGCCGCCTCATCTCCATCCGGGCCATGTAAGACCGATACCACCTTTGAATGAGGATAGCTGCTTTAATAGCTGCAAACACAAAGTAGCAGGAAAGAAAAGTGTTATTTGATGCAACTAATGCAGGACTTTGAATGGAGGCAATTATGCTTTCTTAAGTGAGGTTTCCTAAATTATTTATTTATATATATATACCACCCATCTAGAATGTGTCTACTCTGGGCGGTTTACATATAATATAAAATGTAATGTAATAAACGTATAAATGTAATAATGTTTATACAGACAGAAGAAATATAAGTTAACAATGTCTCCAGCATTAATCACATAACACTGCAAAGCTTCAGGCCCAAAGAAGTTTAATGAACCTAGAGTGTGAGTTGTAGATAAATGTACTCATGTAGAAATGTGTTCTCTGCTTTCAAAGGACAAAAGGCAGGCCATAAAAGACCACTTATTTGGCATTTTTGTGGTTTCCAGCACAATATGATACATCTTCAGGAAAGACATCACCACTATAGCAGACCTCTTTTTTTAAAACAACAACAACAACAACACCATGACAGCAATCCTGTTGCATAGGCTTTGATTTTCTGAGGAAAACAAGTCCTCCATCTTAACACAGCTGAGGTGGCATTAAGATGAGGAAGGGACTGCTGTCTTAGAAGTGAATAAACACATCAGAGAGTCTTAGGGTACACCCACACAATCCTATCACAAGTCATCTAGGAGTAAGTACTTGTCTCTCTAAAGCTGTAAAGGCAGGAAATATGCTCATACAACTGTCATAGACTTGTATTGTGTCCTATCTATTTAAGAGACAAGGTTAGAGGGCCTCGGTGCTATCAGGCTTATGCAGAAGGGTAGGAGTAAGTGGTTTAAATCCAGTTGCTAGTTCCCTACTGGAGTAAGGCTCCAGGATCAGTTGGTGAATGGTGAATTAACACTTATGTACATCCCTTTACTTCAGTGCACCTACTCTGGTTGAGACAACCAATTGGATGCTGTTGTGGTGACACTTGAGGCCTGTATCACTTCCTCAAGATTCCAGGACAATCCTGGGCCTATCAGTTAAATTTCTTTATTGATAGACAACATAAAGTCTGAAGTCAGATATTACTGTGTGACCAATTAGATTTTAATTGAGGAGTAAAATACAGTGGTGCCCCACTAGATGATGTTAATTCATTCCATTGAAATTGCTGTTTAGCAAAAACATTGTCTAGCAAAAAGCCTTTTCCCATTGGAATGCATTGAAACCCATATAATGCATCCCAATGGGGAAAACACCTCGTCATCCTGCGAAGATCGCCCATAGGGAAGCCGCATTGCGAACTGCCGATCAGCTGTTCTAAATCACTGTCTTGCGAAAAACGGGCCTGAAAACACCCATTTTGTGAAGATTGCCCCTAGGGAAGCCATTTTGCGAACCACCGATCAGCTGTTCTAAATCGCTATCTTGTGAAAAAACCGTCCCCGAAGCTCGGACCAAATCGCCGTCAGTAAAATTCCCCCATAGGAATCACTGTTTTGCGAAGCAAAATGGAGGTCGCAAAACATCGTCGTCATGGGGATTTGTCATTCTGAGGGGTAATCGTTTTGCGAGGTACCACTGTACAGGTATTTGCGTGTCAAGCTGTTTCTCACATTCAGAAATTTGGATACAAAGTTTTGAACACAGTTTCCAAGACACAGCTGCTCTTCAGCACCTTCATATGTGTCTCAATGCATGTCTCGAACCACCACTGTTGCTGCGTCAAGCATTCTGAAGAAAATACATTCTAAATTAATCAAATAAACATTGCCTGAAGTATGATTTACTAACCAGGGGATGCGACTGTTATTTTTCAGCAGACACATCATTCCAAAACATCAGAGTATACAAAACTGTTAAAGTACGACTTATGAGATTTTTTTTTACAGATACATATTTTGAGTTTTTTTAAAATCTTAAAATGAACAATCTATAAATAAGCAGCAATAATATTTTAATGAGTGTTGCTAATTTACATTGGTGAGGAACCAGTGAATATGTTGCAGTAAAACTCAGACTCAAACCAAAGAAACTGCTGAAACAGTTATTTTGTGGACCAATACAGAGTGCTGAGCTCTACATATATCCTTTGTTATTAAACAAGTAGTAACCTGCTTTGAAGATGGTAGCCATGGCAGACAGGTGCGTTTCCCTGGAACATCACCCTTGTCATAGCTCCTGATTTCATTATTCCAATTCCCATTCAAGTAGAAATGCTGTTGATTGTTAATAAAGTTAATTGACACTTGAGAGACCTAGGTCAATGACACCTATCAATATCACTCCCGAGAGGAATGGTCACTATTTCCATAATCTGTTTGCTATACCAGAAGCAGAAAATTGAAATATCAATTAAGATATAGGGAAAATGTTTTGAAAGGCCTTGATGAATTACAACAGAATTAATCTAAATAGCTGATGCTGAGTTGACTTCTATGGGTGTTGCCACAGACATATAGGTGGGGGAAACTGAACTCTGACATTCACTGCTCTAATTAGTTTGTCTTTCCCCAGACTGGTCACCAAGACATCTGTGTTCCTTTCTCACCGCAGCTCACCTCTGGTTGATTGCCCTGTGTGCTCAGAATGTGAATTCATCAGCACATACCCTGTAACATATGCACCACACTGAAATCTTTCTACAAGGAGCCATTTGCATTTCTACATACAAAAAATGCATCTCTCCTGATCAGTTCTAGAAGCATTGCTATTCTGGTCAAGAATTGTTTCATTAGGGGCTATATGGACAATAAAAGAAAATTAGAGAAGTGGGATTTTGGATGACTTTCAAAGCCAAGGAAATGTCATTTAAAGTCCTGTTTAACATTTTCTTTTGGTGCTCTTGCAAGAGGCAGCAGGACTCCTTGGTGCAAAATGTCTCAGAGTGTCTCAAAATGTTTGTTCTCTGAAACTGGCTAATGCTTTTTAATTATCTACTTGTACCCAAACATCATTTGTGATCTCCCTAATAAGAATCTGGCTGATTTGCATAATGTAGGCAGACCTAGAGATATATTGTGGAAGCCTGTAGAATCCATGATGATAGATGCATTCCTCAATTCTGGTTGGTCTTGAATAAGAAATACTTCAATATATAATGTATAATTATGACACCATAGAAGGGCAAGTTCAGAGAAAGATGTTACCTTTTTCTGATTTGTTCATTTGGTTCTTCGTAATAGATGTGCCACATCCCATGACTTCCGTAGAGACTGGACACCTGACTCAAATTGTCTTTACAGGTTTCTTTCAACCAGTGGTATTACTGAAACCATATTCTCTTTATATTCATCTCAATATACCACAATTCCACGAAGGACCACTCCTCCCATTAGCCCTATTGAAAGATAATAGAATGTGGCAAAAGAGATAGCATATATTTGGCCATCGTGCAGCGGTGCAGCAGAAATACCAATGCAGATTATCCATGCATTAATGAAGGCATCAAGGAACACATCTGCTTTTGTCAGTAATCTGCACTATTATGAAGAAGTAGACCACTTCCAGAATTAAATATAGGAGGGTTTTTAGTGCTTTATTGTGCTTAAACTGGTATTAAATAACAGTGCCTCATGGCCCAGTGGTATGTTAACATGGTAACTGGAACCATTAAATACATATAGTTACTCCTTTTGCTGCAGTGAGACAAAAACTCAACTAATTATGTGAATGTTAGGTTTTGTTGCTCTTCTCAGATTTAAATCTCTGTGAAGTGTGTATACTGCTACTGTACCATAAAGCTAAAAGTAGTGCCTACAACATTAGCAATAAAAATTAATAGATCAATTAATACTGATAATCCATCTGAAGAGTAAATTACATTGAGTGTAAATTTCAGTGGCAAATCACTACCACTTATGAAATTGACATTTGCATTTTTATCACACACCAAATGCAAATGCCAACCTTGGAAATAGTAGCAATTTGCTACTGAGATTTATATCAATAGATTTACCCTTGCAGCCATAAATAATAGGATTTTGGTCATTTATTTAAATAAATTGCATCTGGTCCTTCAAGGCCTAATGTTCTTGTCCATTTATAATAATAAAATAGTTTTTAACCAATAATGCAGCATGGGAAGCCAAAACCAGAACTTGGAAATGGCAATTATTTTGTATTATAGCTCCTTGAATCTTATCAGCCAGCACCAGAGATTCTGGGAGTAATGTTCAAAATGTGAAATTTTCAACTCTCATAAAGCATTATCAGCAGAAAACTAATACAAGCAACATTCAAAAATAGCTGAAAAATAAAATGCAGTTTGCCTGCTGGATAGCTCAGTGATCTATGAGGAGTAAAAGGTAGGGAGTTTGATTTCCCACTATGCCTCTTGATGATCATGAGAGGGCACACTGATAATTACCTTTTCTGTGACAACACTTCCTATAATAGTCTTACCTTTAGTTCCATCAAAAATCAATCAAATCCATTAAAACTGGTGTTAATATTCAATTTGCTAAATATTTCTACTACATAACCCAATTTTCCTGTCCTGAAAGCTTTCTCAACATCACAGCATTAATACAGCTTCCCCCCGCCTCCAAACTTGGTCTGTGAGCAGGCTTGAAAAAATTCTGAGGGGAGCACAAAACTGAGATTTTCATAAATCAATGACATACAGTAATGTGTTTTCACTGCAAACAAATTAGTGTGTTAGCATTAGAATTTCTTTTCTTAAAACTCCCTATTTTGGTTAAAAGTAATTTTGTTACATTTGTATTAATTTTTACTTATAGGTGGTAAGGTATGAAGGTTTCACAGAATCAAAAAGAGGGCCTGATGCTGAACATTTGGCATCTGCTGGTATAGGCTGTCTGTCCAAACAAGCTTTATACAGTTTAAATCAACTGAGTTGTTGAAAAAATCTTAAAAATACACAATCATTTATCCATCAAATTGTGAAGATTTACCAAACTTCAGAATTCTAATTATATCTTTTGGCCCAGGATTTCTGAGGACCACTTTTCCCTGTGTTAACCTTCCTGCATTGAACATGTAAACTGAAATTTCACTCTGGGTGCACCCCACATGGTGTGTTACCCCAAATATGGGATGATTTTCCCAAGCATCTGGAAAAGAAACGCTTGTATTGGTTAATAAAACACACTAGGTATTATTAAGGTATATACAATATGTGGGAGCCTTTGTTCTTGGAAAATGTGGAGTGTGGCTCTTGGTCATATTCCAACAGAGACATAGATGTGTCCATGCTAATTGAAGTAAGTGGTTTAAATATCTATATCCTTGGGTCAGATGTTCTCCTGTGTATTTACAGATGTTACCAAGTAGAAAAATTATTATCAAACACAATAGAGTGAAGCGATATCAGAGATGGGATCATTGTTACTATTCTATTTGAGTAAAGTCAAGGTTTCTGAAACCAGTAGGCATACCTGTTACCACTATGCTTCCTACCTTCCCTCCACAAAGATAGGAAAAGGAAGCCACTATTGAGTACTCTATACATACAGTACTTGGATAACCCTCAAAAGGGTCACAATGTGTCAGAAAAGACCAGATGGCACATAATTATTTTTATTAATTATTACAAATGTAAAACATATGGGCATACTTAAATTCATTTAAATCATTGAACAAGTCTTAAAATCATATAACCCTGAAGTTGAAAGCCTCTATGGCCCTCTCAGTATGTACAGCAGGTATCAACGTTTCATGTCTTGGAGCCAAGGCTCTGATGAAGAGACATTCTTATTACTATTGATTCATTTGCACAATCTGAATTTTAACTGCTTTTAAAATATATATAATATCACTCAATAACTAAGGCTTTGAAGCTCAGATCATAACAAACTTTGGAGCTGTAGTTGTGAAACTGTATCTTCAAATGAACATTTCAAACCACAAGATTTTGTTTCTACTTCTACCACTGATTATCAGCTACAGTACTTGAGATATTATTATGCCCTCTCAGGATTCTAAAGTATGCATATAGGAAATTTAAATTCCAATTAAGTCTGTACTAATAAGAATTCATAATCATTACTCTCAGACGTAACTTCGTCCTTCCATTTCAAATAGCCCCTAAAATTAAGTGAATAATTTTTACAATTACAATGAGATCTAAAGCAGAACAACAAAAAGTATATACTGCTGTACAATAAACAAGAATTCAAATTGTGTTCCAGAAACATTGCTATCATATTATAGGCAAACCAAATTGTATGACTGGCATACATGCATATCACTTGATTAAATAAAAATAATAAATAAGAATACTTGTGGTTGAGTGAATGTAGATGCCAAAAATAACATGAAGATTTACATTTCCTTGGGTGTCACCTGAAGACTGCTTGAAAACTTACCTACACTGGTGTGAATGTGCCCAATGGAGGTAGGGCAAAAAGGGGAGGAGGCTGTCTCAGTATGGCATGGGCTATGAGTGCTGATTTGTAGCAGCCCATTTTAACTCTTCTGGATTTTAAAGGTGGATGCAGTGCTGAAAGAAAAGAGGAAATAATGCATAGGGCGAGGCATCATTGGTTAAGACCACAGGAGAGGCAGCACTGGTATAATTTAGTAGGTGTGATCCAAAACTGGGTTTTCTTAAAATCCTTTTAAGTTGGTACCTGAGGAATCTATTTGCAAGAGGAAATGGTTTGGGAGAAGGAATTTTTTAGGGAAGGAATGGTTTTAGGGAGAATGGTTTTAGGGAAGGATTTTTTGGGGAAGGGAAATAATATTTGGTTGGAGAATCTGGGAGAGAAATAAGCCTGTGAAGCAAGAAAATAGCAAGAAGCTGCAATCCTGTAACTGCCATGTTTAGCAGTAAGCCCAGGTCAATACTATATGACTTACTGAGTCATGAAAAACTGATGATTTTATTTTGCTGGTATATAGTATAAGAACAATTAAACTACTTGAAAAACAGCCAATCAGATGTCTCTGGGGCTGATAGCCATGACATTTCTCTACTTGTATCCTTTGCAGAAATCAAAGATATACTGCCTCTAAACATGAACTCTAATATTATGGTGGATAGAAGGGCTTTCTATAGGCAAAGCTGGGATGAAGCATGCAGGAAGAGTTAAAGTGCACTTGGGAGTGGCATTGCAAAAGAACCAAATGGCTTGTCTAGAATAATTTTGAATGTTGCTGTTTGTATTAAGACTTTTAAGTTGCATTCCACAAAACAGCTGTAAAATCTGCAAATTTTCAATTCCTCACTCCCGAATTATCTTCACAGGATTCATCTCTGTCTATGTAAATACTTGCAGTGCAGAAAATATTCAAGTTCTAGTCAAAGTTGAAACCCAATATTTTTTATTTTAGATATGGAAAACCTACAGTTGTGTATAGGTGTGGAGGAACATACCAAAGAAAAGCTAAGTCAAAAATAAAAACAGATGAGGCATAAAGCTGGAAGCATGGCATTCAATTTATAGTTATGCTGAGGAATAGCTACTCATGTCCAATCCTATCGTAATATAGGATTAAAGGAATAGACAATAGTGGTTATTAGAGAACGGCTAACAATTAATTAATTTCTGAAGTAGCAGTGATTTTTCCCCTATAGAAAAACTAGACAGAAGAATTCTGTGGAATTTTATGGGGTTTTTCACTGTTGTTTTGATGATGCAAGCACAAAATTAGATTAACACGCATTACATGAACAATGTTCAAACGTCAATAAGGCTCTTTCAGGAAATACTGTACAAGAATTGATTCAGCACCTCACCAAAGTGTATGTGTGTGTATGTGTATGTATTCTAGTTACATGCCAGAATAAAATGAGAGACTGAACAATGGCAATAAACTATGGTTAATAACTAGTGCTTAACTCTGCGATGCTATAATTAACATTAAAATAAATAAATAAAGGGTTTCTGCTTTATATCTGTCTAAATACTATAGATATATATATACTTAGAAATAAATATTTTTTAAAACAATGGGATTTCCTTCAAAAGAAACATATTTAGGATCACAGCCTTTGTTACATCATGCAGTCTGACAACTGACATTAATTTGATTTTTAAAGAATTAGTAACTGGAACGTATCTATGAAAATAGAAGACCACAAAGAAATTACCTGCTTTCTTCCACTGTATCAGCAAAGAGGTTTGTTGCAAGTGTTGTAAACATGCTTTCTTCTTCAGCAGAGTGGACAGAACACAACACGAAAGCAATAGACACTCCAGCTGTCTCCAGAGCGGTCACTTTTGTGCCTGCCTTACTTTTATGTAGGCAAAACATTCCCTATACATCCTTTTTCAGCAACAGTGGATTGCAAACAGCTCCTTTCCTTCATCCAACCTGAAATAAGAGCTCTGTATTACAGATACAACAGCAGGGTAGGCAGACAGGCAGAATGATGTATTGGATCTTTGTTGTTTACCGCACTCTCCGGATCTGTAACTGAACCTATCTGCCTTGTATCAGAGAGAGCTGTGGGGTCTCTTTTCCTCAACAACACCCATCGCAGTAATGATGAAGCACAAACTGGCATTTAGCCATAGCATAGAAGCTAAAATGTGATGTGAAGCTTAAGTATGGGAAGAGAGACTAAAATTTGGAAAGGAGCAAAACAGAGACAGAAATACTGCTTCCACAGCAGTAATCATGTCTGTTGAAGCAAAGACAAGAAAGAGGATGGGGGCATCTTGCAGATTAATGAATTTATTACTTGTATGGACTAATGTCCACTTCATTAGATGTATGCAGTATTCTCCTGAACTATAAGTATACACAAGATAGAAGTAAGCAGTGAGTTCAGTGGAAAATGAAATGCAGAATATAGGGTCCAGATACAATGGAAGTTTAGTCTACTTTCTGAAGCAGGGTAACTGTGAGTTCAGTGGAAAATGAAATGCAGTAGTTTAGTCTACTTTCTGAAGCAGGGTAACTCTGAGTACCAAGTACTGAGGATAAACAATAGTCAACAGAGGAATCCTTGTCATCTTCATGATTATGTCTTCCCTGTGGTTTTCCAAGGAACATTTGGCTGTTAGAAACATGGTATTGGAACAAATGAGCTTTGATGACAACTTCTTATTTAGTAGACAGTAAAATACTGTTATATCATAAGGACTTTAGTTCTCAAAAAACATTCCTTTCTTTATTCGTATATGGTGTTGCACAAATGTATCAGCAAAATAATGCCTAAAGATAACATACAGTTTACACAACTGTGACATTGGCATGAACCCTTGGATCTAATCTAGCAAGTTCTCCTAGATCAAATATCTCTTTGGTTGTCTGGACTAATAGATACTTTGTACCTCTGCCTTTATTGGAGGACTACCTACAATAATGGGAACAAAAAAGAGGTGAAGACTCTAGCTACATCTCAAATTGCCTACAAACAGGATCATGATAAGAAGCAACCTGAGGAAACAGGTGTGAATTCAATTTAACCTTGTTGTATTTTTTTTATCTAAGAAATCAATTCGCACAAACATCACAATCAGCACATCTTTATACTGAATGAAAATTCTATGCCTTTAACACCTGTGTTTCAGGCACCGCTTTATGTACAGGTGCAAAATTACAATGTATGTCCTCTTTTCCTCCCTTGTTTGAATATTTGTATCTTCCTTTCGGGTAATGTATAAGAAGCCAACCTAATGTGTGATCATCAATGTTTCTGCTGCCTTCAGGCATCTGAGGCCCTGTGTGTGTGTGTGTGTGTGTGTGTGTGTGTGTGTGTGTGTGTGTGTGTTAATTCTCCCAGCACATACTATTGCTTTAATAGCTGTACAGTACTTACATATATACATATACAATTTTTTTCACATGAGCATGGTGATAATTCAGAGTTTATTCTGAGAACAGAAACAATCACCATGTGTTTATGAACTGAGCGGGCAGGCAGAATTTAATGTATCAAATATGGTCCTGTATTTTACAGTAAGATACAAAGCAAGTAATTAATGGTTATTCCACTCTCGGTGAGCAGTGACAGCCCTCTGCTGACAGAACACTATACTCTGCTTTGTAGGTAAATTATTGCAAAAGAGGATCTCACATTGTGCTCTCTAGTACATGTTTATTTTAAAAAAAATATGTAGTAAGTGCAAATTTGGGGGGGGGGAGCTGTAGAAGTACTGATTTTAGGTTAATTAACATCTTCAGATTCAATTTAATTTTTTAAAATTCATCAACTGGACTATTTCATAGTTGGAGTTAAAAAGGAGATTTAAGATGTCTCCTTGATCTAATTTGTCCTCCCTAAACTGTAGGGAGCAGTACTTGTACGATACATTTCCCTATGGCATTAACATATTGTTTAGTAAGAAAATCCCTTCAATTTAAAAATAAAAGCAGTTCATAAGAATTCTAATTAGGAGAATGGCCTGGTAAATTCCATCTTGTAAGCAGCAGCACAAGCCATGTATATTTCATTCCAGATCGGAGTATTTTCTCTTTTCAAATTTATTTGAAGCAGACAAGCAATTTTAATAGTAACAGTATTTAAAGATAGGCACAAGTACAGCCTGTGTGTGTTATTGATGTTTATATACTGTACTTCTTAATTGACATGAGTGTGAAGGCATCAAGTACCCCCTCCCCTTTTCAGCATCTTCCATGACCTGATGGCTTGAACTCCCTTAATAATTGAAGGGGCTGCATTATCTTTTTATTGGTTTCCTAGTTTTAAAGAAGAGGCCTGCTTATTAGTAGTAACTGCTTGTGCCTAAGCCTACCCTAAAAAAACCAGAGCGTTCACTGAAGTACTAGAAAGTTTGGGCCTGTGATTCATTAATTGGGTACACTTAGGTTGCTGTGGGGCTTTGCTGTGAAAGTGGGCCTCACACCTTGCTTTATGCCTCATGCCTCACAATATGTTTCATGCTTTGTTTCACACTGTGCTTTATGCTTTTTCCTTTTAGATTGTCCTCCTTTAGTCCTGAATGTGTATTTCAGGGAGGCTCCGTACATTTCTACACTTCATTATTTTCTGCTGGTTGTACTTTTACCCAAATGTTATTCTGTTTTTCTGTAAATTCTTTCCTGTTTCCTTATCCTTTATAAATACATCTCCCTCTCCCCAGGTTCTCTGCATGCACTTTATTTCAAACAGTGTTCATGTTAATGGTTCAGTATTATTGTTCATTTCTACCGTTTAATAGTCTGTTTCACTCCTACTGTGCAATGGTTTGGGCTGAAGGCTTCGGAAACAAAGGATACAGATTTGGCTCTTGTTTTCCTGGACTTATTCAGCTTAATTATGTGGGCCAAGGTACTGATGCTTGGACCTCTGCTGCTCTCCATCATCTGCCATCCCTTGGGTGGTCATGAAGAGAAATCTAGCTAGTTTGCTAATCTGTGTGCACCATTGCTCAAAAATAAGCCACAGGTTAAGTAACCACAAGATTTTTGTGGTCCATGTCCTGTTGTGAAGTGGGGCCAGGGATCTGTGACTTTATGAGTATCAGTGATTATCACATCCTCTGATCCCTTCCTTGGGGTTTCCTGTTCTCTCTGAGTTTAGCTGCAGTCCTCACAGTATCTGGGAAATAAATGGATTTTCTCTGGAACAGTATATTATTGAAAAAATTACTTTATTATGGTGCAAAGGATTTGGGAGTACTGTAGTTTGGCCTTGAAATAGGCAATTCAGAGACATTAGGTTTACAGAAAACCTGTTCCTCATTTGTTGCTAAGGTTTGATAAAGATTTCTGCATTTTTTAAAAACTGGGTGGATGGCTATGGGGACTGTTGTGATAAGCACCTGTACCTTTAATTTACTACTATAGGTTTGTTCAAGTATTTGACAAGTTATTGGCATGTCCCCTCGGCAGATTTCTGACAATCAGAAATTTCCTCCCTCCCACTGTCTTTTTCAGATGGAGAAGGCTTCTAGCCCTCATAGTTCAGTAAGCATTTCTGAAAATGGAACAAGAAAATTTCCACTGCAGTCCTTCTCCAGCATTTTCTTGCCCTTGCCTGTGGAATATGCATACAACTTAGTCTGCCTCTAGACACAAATGCCGAGCCCACATTCAAGGACCTGAAAGTGCATAGCCCTTCGTGTACACTGCTGCAGAATCTCTTGCCACCCACGCCATGGCTGTGGCTTTTAGTTTTCTGGACTGTATTTCAGTTGCTGATGGTTGTGGGAAAACAGCCTAAGTCCCCAATTCACTTCAGAAAAAATCTTGGGATTTTATTTTCCTGACACTGCATTACTATATGCCCCTGGACTTTTATTTTCCATTTTATGATATACAAGATGACCTTTTAAGTTAAAACATACCTATCTTAATTCTGCCAGGATGCTATTTGTGTTCACTTTTCCTGGAAAGGGTGGGATGCTGCCTTTTTTTAAAAAAAAAAAAACATGCTGAAATTATTGGATTGATGATTATTGGTGGAGGTACATCCCATTATCTTTCCTATTTGATGTTCGTAGCTATGAAACAATAATACTTTTATTCCATATTGAACTTGAAATAAATAAGTTTTGTACTTTAGCTGCAAACGCAGGAGGACCTTTTCGTGCCTGTGTTTTTATCAAACGTCAAGTCGGATACACACACCCGCGCTTTGGACGATATATATACTGTATATATATAACGTGAACGTATGTGCAAAGCTGCCCATTGGAATAAAACAGACTCAATAACATTTTATTAAAAGCTAGCTCTGGAGCCTCTACCTTTAAAAGCAAACTCCTCGGGAAAGTGTTACGTCAAAACTAATAAATTCTTGATGAGGTGGAAATGTCTTCATCCCAGCCTTTTTTTACAGCTTAGTTTAGCCAGAGACTCCGTTTGTGCTGAAAGTGGGCGGAACATCAAGGACCCTGTAGAAAATAAGAAGCGTCAAAGTGGGAAGCACTTCGGCATAACAGAAGGAGGCTGGCTGGAAAAGCTGTTGCCGCAGCGGTTCCATAGTGTAGTGGTTATCACGTCTGCTTTACACGCAGAAGGTCCTGGGTTCGAGCCCCAGTGGAACCACTTAAATTTTTGCCTTTCTTCGGCCATTTTCACATGTTTGTCTGCCAACTGTTTCTGATCACGAGGAGCCCTGCAGGTGAAGAAATTCTAGCTCATTCTCCCTATCCGCTTGCAGTTAATTAATTAAAAGTGATGTTGATATAAGAATACTACATAATAAATGAAGCTAATACTTTATGTAGCAGAAAACTGAATAGTGACAGCTCTGCCCATTGGAATAAAACTGTTTTTTAACACCGCAGGACTTGTGTTTATTATGTGGATACAATCCCAACATGTTGGTGTTTGTGAAGGGCCACCCTTGGTAAGGGTAGAATTAACTGTTTCGCCTTTAAACTGCTGCTGAACTTCGCCGTTTCGTTTATTTGGGATCGCACAGCTCTGAAAGTACTGTACTGTACACCTTCAAAGGCGGGCTGAAACTTATAAATAAATCAGGTTGAAGACCACGCACATGCTCAAGAGGCACAACTGCCTCTGCTTCACCAGGGCGAGAGGCAGGATAGCTCGGTTGCGGTAGGTGTGGGGCGCTGAGACCTCTTCCTGACCCAAATGCTCGATTCGCCGCCGCCTGCTTGTGAGGAAAAAGCGCCTTCAGCCCCGAGGAGACAAAGCAGGCGACCGTTTGACACCGAGCCCTCCGCGTGGCTTCTCTAAACCGTTGTGCCCCGCCCCCAAGCCGAAGGCCCGCCATGGGAAAGGCGGAGGATCTAGGGATGGGCGCGAGGGATTTCTGAGAGGATTTAAGACTCTCTCTCGCCCACCATTGAGGTTTACCTCTCTGAGCCGAAGACGCTTAAATGCATTGCTCTGGTAACGTGCGAATTGAAATCAAGACCAGCCTTTATGCGGCTCCCACCCATTATATATATATTATTACGTTATATTATATTAGCTTTTGGGGTCGTATAATAGCATTTGCGGATGGCTAGACCTTGCGCATGTCGTGTGAGCTTTCCACAAAGGAGATCCTGAGAGGCGTAATGAAGTGGGTACAGCCTAGCGCAGGCCTACCAGGAGACACCCTCCACCCCCGCCCCGGCTCTTTCTGGGCACGTTTTCCTCCCGGGTTGCCAAGGAAATGGTGCTATAAAGAAACACTGGGGCGCGCAACGCCAACAAGGAGGGAGCCGCGAAGGGCGGGACGGGCTTTCCCCGACCTGCTGCAGGTTCGGCGCTAATAGCCTTGCTGCTCCTGCCCCGCCGCCTCCCCCCTCGCTCTCCGGCTCTGTACGGGAGAAAACGCAGGCGAGCCGCCAGCAAAAGCTCGCTGAAATAGGGGGAGGGAGTGGCTCACGGGCTCGGGTGGCGTGCTTTCCTTGGAGGGGAACCCACGCGTGTGCAGCGTGGGCCTCTGCCGATCACGCTCTGTTTTAGTTAAAGAAAAAAGTCCCCTTTATTATTCCCCCCACGCACCTAGAGAAAGAGGGGGAGGG